ACTCTGAAGCAAAAAAGTGTGTCCTTGTCCAACAAATGACCTAACTGCACCAGCTTGTGTGTTGGAAATGGCGAGGTGAAAATTGCATTCATTTTGTACTTCAAAATGAACAAAATAAGTAAGTGAAGGGTTTTTTTTTCTTTTTTTATTATAGTTCAATTTTTATTACTTTCAATATTATAATCATATTACATTTTTCTGCAAAACAGTTAAATAGAGCTACAAATTACTTGGTGGGGGAGACACTGGTATTGTAGTACCAGGCGTTTATCGTTAACTGATAAAAATGTGACAATGTCTCTTGGCCAAAAAATAAATATAAGGAGTAATGCAACAAATTACTTTCTACAGGAAGTAAATAAGTAATGTAATGCATTACTTTTGTAAAAGGTTATATGTAATATGTTACTTTCTTGAAGCAGACTTCAGCACCAACTGTATATAGCCACATGCTTATTCTGGACAAAAAAAAAAAAGATTTACAATACACTATGCAGTGAAAGAGTGTCCTTTAACGTCCCTCTGGTGGATATGTCTTTAAAAGAAACTGAAAGAAAATCTATACTGTGTGGTTCACTGTTAGCTGTGATATGCATTTTTCTTCTCTTCTAAACCAATCACTGAAAACAAATATAGCAGGAGTAATCTGTAGTGCAAATGAGTGGCAGCTGTTCATTCGTGTGTGTGTGTGTGTGTGTGTGTGTGTGTCTGTGTGTGTCTGTGTGTGTGTAGAGGTAGTTTGTGTTTCGCAGTGATATCATCGTCATCGTGTGGAGCGTGTGTTTGTGTGTAATGTCTAGCCAATGTGCTGTCTGAGTGATGTCTGGTCTGTGTGGGATAGTGATATAGCTTGTTTCTTAGTGTGTGTGTGTGTGTGTGTGTGTGTGTGTGTCTAGAATGGTCAGTCAATCCACACAGGGGTTGTTCTGAGTGTTCATCAGAAGATAAGCAGGGGAGACTTAATCACCTTCAGATGTGAGGGGGGCACTTCAAGTTGCCCTGATATCCAAACACAGCACCTGACCCTGCTGTGTTTGTGTGCGTGTGTGACAGTGTACTAATGTATGCATATCACGTAGCAATAAGTGTGTATTTCAAGAGTGACCTGAATGTTCAGACAGTCCTCTTGGATTCCAAAGAAAAGAGGAAAAAGCACATTTTAAAATGTTACGATTAACAGTGTGCACACACTGGTGTCTCAGAGACATACAAGAGCGAAAACAGGATGTCAACCACCTTGTGACTAGAAGGGGGGAAACGGTGGTTGCGTTTTCTTATTTGCTGTCGGACACAATTGGTCAATGTGTGGAGAGGTTGCCTGAATGGAGGCAACGTGTCTTCAAATAACTTCATTGTGCAGTTAAATCACCTTTAATAAGCAACTAAATTACTATTTGTAGAGGCGGTTTCAAATCTATGAGAAGTGGAACAAGTCAAAAATGCAGCGAGCCATTTAAAATAGTGAACTGAATACCTGGCTAGTAGAGCCACGTGAAAACACAACAACTACATAAATGGCTCATGAGTGCTCCCCCATATTTGCAGTTTTTAAGCCATTTATTACAGTTAATCACCATATTATTACAAACTGATGGCATGTAATTACCAACTCGAGTCCTTTCGGTTGCAAACTAATTACCTTCATGATGCATTAAAGTTGCTCTAAAGGCAGAAACTGGTTGTGAGTGGTCGCAGACCTGATACCTAGGCAACACGACTCCAAGTTCTTTGCATATGATTGAAATTATTTTGGTCGCCAACCACTGTTTTCACTTTGCAATTTTCTTGACCAGTTGAGGTTTTATACAATAAAAAGGAATTTTATCTCTTTAAATTCTGCATTCGGTGTAAGACAACACCCACTGAAATCCCACCAAAGCTATTCCTTTCTTCCTAGATATCCCTTTTAATCCATCCCTCTCTCCCTGCTTGTTTCTTTCCCACTCGTCACTTTTTTTACCATAATTTTGGTAATTTTTTTATAGCTTTAGCTATTCCCACTCCACCTAAGAGTAGAACCACCACAACTATACAAAATCATATTATACATTAATATCTATTAAAAAAAACATGCTTGCTAGTTCTAATTAGTTGTGTACAGTTTCAAGTTTTAAAGGCCACCAGCCGGTAACAGACACCGAAATTTTAATTGGCTGGAGTGATGTGATCAAAGGTACAGTGGTGAACTTTACTTTCTCAGATGTGGATTGTGACATTATGCCATGTAATTGTAAAATGTTGAGTCAGTCCCTTCTCTAAATGAGTGCTTATCCTAAATGCAGTTTAAAAGGCTCCAGAGTCACTTAGACATCAAAATTAAAGTTAGTCAAGGACCAACAGCAAAGATCGAGACAGAGAAAAGGAGTGAAATATTCCTTGCTGAGGTTCAGGCCACTTTAACAGGCACTTTAATGGCCAGTCTGTCCAATTCTCCCACCAGCGTAGGTGAATGTGTGCGCACCAATTTAGCCCACTCCTCGCTGTCCTGTTCTTCTGTAGCTGTGTGTGTAATGGAGTTAACAGCTGGACACCACTTCTTTTAACACAGCCTACTCATGTGCTTTCTGTCGGCCCTTTTCTCTTTTTCACTCTCCTTTTCTCTCCTTCCCTTTCTCATTGTCACTGTGCCAAGTTAAAGCAGCTTGTTTTTGCTCTGGTGTGTCTCTAAACATCAAACAACAGGCTAATCTGCTGGTCTTTATTAAAGCTGAGAGCACATTACACAACCCGGATTGGTGCTGCTTTCTTTTTCGACTAGCAAAAGATTCTGCACAATTTTGAGAGAGAAATGAAACAGTTTAACTCCGTTTTCTTTCAAGTTCATTTCAGTTCAATGAATTAACCAAATATATTTTTGCTCAGAATGAGAACTGCAGATTTTCTTTAGAGAACTTCACAGATGTAATGACGATAGTAAGGCAAAGTCTTAAAAAACGGAAACAACACTTTTATTTTCTTCTTGAATCAAACATAGTGTAGTCAAGTGTCTAAACAGAGAACATTTCAGTCCATCAGTTCACCTATTTCTCAACCAGATATGCTTTCATTTTAATCAATTGAGTTGTCGCAAATACATAATATCAGCTTTCAATGCAAGCTATAACTACATAAAATCTATACTTTTATGCAATTCTGTACCTGTTAGGCTGCACATAACAAATAGACAGCCTTCAGGTCTGAAATGCTAAGGCAATGCAATACCCTTGTTCCTTCTAATGACCACTAATGATCAGTGATCAGGTATGAATTTCTGAGAAAATGACCCTACTTCTAGCCTAACTTATTAGCGCTGTGCACATTTAGTTTTTTGGTCTCAATCACCACTTTCAAGTCTTGATCGGTATATCATCATGCTCATTTTGTAAAGTATGTTTCCATTAATAGCTCGGTCACTGCAGAGTCGAAAAAAAAAGGACGGTAACCTCATTGTGACTAGGAAAAATCAGTGGTTCCTGGTAGGGCTGGGCCATATCATGCCATTCACGGTAATACCGGTATAATGTTGGGCAACGATAAGAAAATGAAATATCGCGATAGAATATAGCGCATGCGCAGTGCCTTTGTTTTTATACGCACATGGCGGAAAAAGCATGGCGGCGACGCAGAATGAGAAGGGCGAAAGCGGTTTGTTGAATGAAACGGATGAACCAGAATTGTTTTTTTAAAATGCTGCAACTTCAGTGGTGTGGAACTGGTTTAGCTTT